TATAATACTACTGCTACTGCTACTGCTACTGCTACTGCTACTGCTACTGCTACTACTACTACTACTACTACTACTACTACTACTACTACTACTACTAATAATAATAATAATAATAATAATAGGCTGGGCAGCACAGAACTGGCAGTAGTGCAAAAGAAGCATTACAGTACCATAAAAGATTATCAGATGTCCTAGCCAGTCTTTGTTTAAAACAAGTTTCAAAATCTGAAATCTATACCTCTAACCCAAGTTTACAACCTCCATTTTTAAAAAAATCATATTTTTTATAAGAAGCTGCCCTGCACACCTAGCTATGATTTTTGGAATTTTTGCTGCAGGTTTGTGGTGCCCAGCCTGATGAAGACCCTTGCAGGGTTCAAAAGTAGCATATATTTGTGATTTTTCACAACCAGATAAATTTATCATTTCATGTTGAAAGATAACTGCCTGGAAGGATAGCATGCTAATCTGTTCTACAAAAAGAAAACTATCAGTGAGTCTTGTGATACCTCAAAAGGATAATAAAGTACTCTTTGTCTACAAGGGCTTAAGATAACTGGGTTTAAGGCTCTGTTTTCACCCACTCTTTTCAATGTTAATAAATTCAGAAACTGACCCAAAGTAGATTAACAGCTTTAGATCATTTCACTGAGGGAAAGGTGGCATAAAAATGAAACTAAACAGGAAACAAACAAGCAAATTAATAAAACTGGAAGGACAATATTTTTTATTGCCTAAAATATCTACTTGGGGGCTTAATTCCAGAATCCAAACTGCAGATCCAAGATCATTTTGAGACCAGTGCATCTTTTTGCTTCGGTTAAATCAAATAGCGTATTTCACATCACACACTCTGATTCAGTTTCCAGTTCATCCATGTGTCTGCCAGTGATTTTCTAGTCTGTGGTGTGAGATCCAAGGCTTGGCCCCCAAAGTATGTAACATTCTGATAGAAATATAAGGAAACACAGCTGGAACAAAATTAGCTTGAAGAAAAAGACTTAGGGATATCTTCAGATAAATCTTTGTGATCTTCATATTGGGGGGACAGGAAGGGGAGTTTTAAGGAAGTTAATTTTGGTGAAAACCAAACTACATAAATGTGATTTATTGTTTGTTTTCTCACATTTTTAATAATGACTTATATTGAAAAAATGCTAATACATGCATACATGTCAGCAGTGCATACCTTATGCTAGGATGGAAGTTTTTTCTTAGATGGAAATCACAGCCAATCAAAATGTATCCAGAATCGAGGTTTTTTTAGACCTCTTTGTAGTGATCATATTAAATTGGAAAAGAAATCTGAAGTGCTTTTCTTCCCAACGGAAAGGCAGTACTTATGGGGAAGCTATTACAGCAAGTTTATGATTTTTAAAAGCATACACATTCAGAATTATTTTCCCCACATAATATCCATTTACTAGTTATTCAATTTTAAATACTTTGTACCTGGCATTCATACTATTTTGTAGAGAAAAACTTTAAAAAAATAAGTTTCTAAGGCATTGCCTAGAAAAGTATTGATAGATAACACTGTAGGCAATTAATAATCTATGCTGATTTATATCTCATTACAATTGACTTTGCCTTTTGAAGAATAACATTAGTTGAATATACAAACTGAGATTCTGGAAGGGGTCAAGTACTGTACTGCCATGTGTTACTTTCTTTCAACAAAAGCCGCCCCTCAAAATCCCCTAACAACAACTAACTAGCTAAGTTTTGATGAACATTTCCCCTTAAATCTGATTTGTTTTTGAGGCCAGTGGTGAGCAAAGTGTAGCCCTAGTATATGTGCAAACCCTGAAGATTACTTTGTGGTTATTCAGCTCTCCTCTGATCCTCTTTTTAATATATATTTATTAAACTTCTACCCTGCCCATCTAGTAGCAAGCCACTACTCTAGGCAACTTATAATAAAATGTGCACATACAATAAAAACATCAAAGAGAAAGGAAGAACCCCACCCCTATAGCCCACCAACATCACAAATACACAAACACAAATCCTATGATGAGGACAACAATAACATCAATTACGCAATCAAAGTCAAGCAATCAAATAATTAAACCGGATAAGATTCTTAAAAGCCTGACTGAAGAGTAATGTTTTTGTTTGCCTTCTAAATGCTAGGAGGGTGGTGGCCAGATGCACCTCAACAGGTAATGAGTTCAACAATGAAGAGGCCACCACCGAGGAGGCCTGGTTCCTACTTGTCAAACTGCCACTCCTGGGGAATTCCAGTTTGCCTTTCAATAGGTTGCAGGAATCCTTGAAAATTAAGAAATGCCAATTTTTCAGAAGTGGACCTCTACTGACTTCTGATTTGAGGTTTTGAGCTTTATTGCATTTCTGGTTATCTGTGTGCCCCACAGAATGTACCAGGGACACAGAGAGGAATGTGTGGACCTGCCAATGTTGCTCACCTTTGTTTTAAGATGTCACAGAAGTTTTTGTTGTTTATAGTGATCTCACTTCTCCCAGTCGTTTTGTAGCAAAAAAAAACAAAAAAACCCCCAAACCATTCAGTATGAGAAGACACCAATAGGCTTGGATTATCAAACTCCGTTTTTAGGGGGAAATGCAAAGGAAACGCCAAAGAACAAAACCATTAGGACTAAGGGCATTCACTGACCACCAAGTGCTGAAAGCTGGGGAATAAAAGTAGAAGCACAAATTGGAAGAGAAATGGAGTAGACAGTATTCAGAACAGGAATGCCCCATGCTGGAACTATTTTTAAAAACAGGTGCCACTTCGAAAGATGCTGTGGAACACCCCACTATACCTTAGGAGATCCACAGATTTATGTAAATGACACCCTGTTTTCCTCTCTCAACTATCAATTTCAAGAAATATCTGTCAAGGTTGTAATGTGACAAAAGTTAAAAATGCAGGACATCTAAAACTGACTGAATCAAATCTTGCGGAAGATAGAATAATGTGACTCAATTGCCCAATTAAAATGTTTTTCATATCTGCTTTGTTATCTTAATGATTTGTTGCGGAACCACAGTGTAGTAATTAGGACAAGACATTACCAGTGATTCATTCTTCTATCTATAATAAAACAGCTAACTGTTGTATAACTGAGTGTATTCACTATAGCTGACCACAGGGCCATTCCACATAAGATTCAAAGGCTGCATGGGGGGAGTATCAGGCTGTTGATTTCCGCCCTCAGAACTCAAGTGTTCCACAGAGTGTGATTATGTAACATGTGGTGAGAAGCAAGACAATTCTCTTCCTATGCCCACATCACATCAAGGCATTTCTCTTTTAAATTTCTTAAATAATAATGTTACTGTATTTATTGCTCTGTCTTATAAACAGAGAGACAAGTCAGGATCCTGCAATGACCAGGATGTCTTGATAAACACTGGTGAAGGCCCCTGGTTTGCTTAACTTTTCCTGCTTTCATCAGCATGTTGCTTTTGAACAATAAACCAGCTCTCCGTCACAGACCTCTGGCTTTTCATCATGTCCAAGCTGGTTCTATGTGAGAATTCCCAATGGTGTTTTCCTGTTTCCTTGTCAACTTCACCTCATGCACCACCACCCACTGAGTCCAGTTTTCTACTTATCTAGTCAATGTGTGCATTCTGTTTTTCAGCCCTCTATATAGCACTCTTATTCCAAAGCCGTGTGAGATTTTTCCTTTATTGGCTACACTAGCTATCAGAAATGTGTGTTTGATCCTTCCTCCTCTCAGCAGTAAAAACATGTTAACTTTTTAAACTAGAACAGCAGATAATCCATATAAGCAAAGTTACAGAACCACACAGCGTAGTTTTTAAGCAAATGAGTAAAGGAAATTTCCATGTAAATATTAGCCTGGATTCTGTAAAGTGTATTGGGGAAAGGATATCTTTTCAGTCCTATTCGTTCTTACAAGCAAGGAAAAGAAGAAGATAAAATGAGAAAGAAAAATGTGTTTACTTCAGCCTCTGTGTTTTTGTTAAAAGCTTCATTTTAGTTCAAAGCAGATATTGAGAAAGCCACTGTACTCTTTTAGACTCCAACCACCAGTTGTCATAACAACTATCATAATACGTACTGTATATAAAAAAGCAACTTCTCCTAGTTGTGAATCAGAGTTCCCCAACTTTTCCACAATTCTCTGCTGCTATCCATGCAACTCTACTGGCATTTCAAAGCTGCTACACAGTTCCCTGATCTTACAACAAAACTACTCAATG